TCAGAAAAGATTTTGCCGTATTTTTAAAGGCTGCAATGGTACAGTAAGAAGAGTTATTATACTTACAACTCGTCGCATTTGTCTATCAGCCATGTCAACCCAAAACACCCACAAGGACAAATTGCTGTTTGTAATAAAAAATATACCAAAAACATATATTTCTCTAACAATGTTTCAAACTTTGCATGTAGCGTCTAAGACCTTTGTTTACTAGATTTGCTCAAACCCTGAAGATTTTATAGCTCCTTTTTTATTTTCCGCTGTTCTTGGTTTACAAGCCAGTGAGCAAAAGATTACAATTAGTAGCGAAAAAAGAGACGTAAGAAGAATGATATACTAGTTGTCTTACGTCGCACCGAGCAAGAAACTCGTGCGCCGCCTATCTCTTGGTCAACCGACAAGTGAAAGCAATTTCTGGCCAGATTTATAGGAAGTATAAACTGTGATAAGCTTGTTACATGAGTTGTGCGAAACTTTACCTTAAACTCAAAAGATACGATTCCTGCTCGTGGTTTCTTTACTACTTCGTTGGAACTGTCCAATTCCAATATTTCCCCCACATGGATGATCACATGGATTTGTTTTGGAGAGCCCGCTGGTTGAAAATGAGCCCGCGTTCGTCACTTTGGCTCGCTAGTATGTTTTAACGAGTTTTCCTCCATTAGCTCTGTATGTTGTGGTTATTTTCCATCTCCGGGCGTTTAAAGCAAATGAAATATATTGCTTTATCTATCTTGTTCGCATCCTTGTGCGATTTTCTAGAGTCCGTTTACTTCGACGGCATCTTTGTACCTAAACGGAAAAACTCGCGATGATTCAACGGTTTAGAGTGATGAGGGAACAGTCAAGGTTCTCTCACGAATGTATAAATCATACAGGTGTGATGAAAACGTACAAATACTAAAGGTGAAGAGTTTTGAAAATGTATACAAACCCTCAGATCTTGCTGTCGATTTTTGTAAACCGCTATATTCCTTGGAGCGATAAGTGTTATTCCAGTAACGAAATTATTTAACTCAAACGCACTCATTTCGTCTGATGTGACAACGTTCTGTGTCAAATTATTTTCGGGGGCGTTTCGGTGAATTAATGCAACAAATTTCTCTCTTTTCCTTTCGCTGAATGCTTGGATGATTTTTGTCGTTTTCTCTCACAACACACTGATTAATGAGGTAAAAAAAAAACGTCTGTGCGAAACACTAAGTCAGTGGCCCAAGCCACTGTGTTAAAGCCGTGAAGACGAAATATAATCAGAAGCATCTATATCACCAACGTCTGCCCATAAAAATTAATATCTGATTTAACGATATATTAATATCTGATTTAACGATATATTTTTGTGGTTAGTTACCATGGTTATTTTCCGCTTCATTGGAGTTTTTATTTTTAGCTCTAAGATATTTGTTTTCATAGGTTGACCGATGTGTCAGTGAAAATTATCGACTTTAAACAGATCTAAAGTTCTATTTATAACGTTTGATTGCTGAAGACGGTTGAAAATAATCAGGCAATGACAGAAAAGATCTTCTGAAATGAATCAGTTGGGGAATATTTTCCTCTGCTAGAACTTTCCTTTGTCTGAAAAGAAAATGATCCAAAACAGCTCCTCCAAGTTAACTTACTTGCTATGAATACAAGGCCATTTTACATAAATATACAGACTTATTTCGGTAGAGTGAGTAGGGCATTAATTTAATCACCATCAAGTGTAGACTTTCCCTCCAGTGGATGTGTGGGGTATCGTTCACTTGGTACATGTGTTTTTTTTTTTTTACTTTTACATATTTTGTTTCGTATTAGATACTATGCAAAAATTTCGTGTTGTTGAGCTTCAAATTGAGCGAAAGATAGTAGTCAACTTCATGTTTCCATTTTCAAGATGTTTTCTGTATTGAACATCTTCAATAAATAATTGGTTGTGTCCTATTATTGTTGTCATAGTAGAGATAACTTAGGGCTCTGAGCTCACTCGGTTTTGGACTAATGGAAATCGAGAGAGAGAGAGAGGATATACTGTCGATGTGAAAGTTTTCTTTTCTTGTTTTTTCTTTGGTTTCCAATATTTTCAGAATAAAAGTATTTCTGATAGTTTTTGGTTTGGTAGTCTGTTTGTTTTTTTTTTGTTTTTGCACTTGTACAGTTTGTACATACAAGCTAGGTACGAGGGTTATGAATTCCCAAATTTTTCGGTGTATTAAGTACATGCGGTACATGTTTCATTTTTTAATATTCCACTCAACATTGCCCTCGAAGAGTTATCTTTGAATTTAGTAAGTTCCTCAACATTACTGGGTGTCTGTTATTTAAAAAAAAATTGAGTGTGAAGGTTTAAGCAGAAAGGATATGGTGTCGCTGTAAATCATTCCCCTTTTCTTTGTTCTTTGGTTTCTTTCATTTCTTGGAATTAAGGTTTTTTTGGCATTTATTGTTGATACTTATTTTGAGCACTTGTCTGTAGGGGCAAGCCAACATAACCATCAGTTTGAAAGGTATCACAGCTGTTGTTGCCTTCTGCGAGTCAAAGTTTTGGCACAGAAAGCTGATCATACGAAACCGTATTCAAACTGCTTGCAGTGATTAAGGAGTTATGTTTATTTGTATTCATTCAAATATTTTCTCTGTTATCTGAACTGAAGCATTATAACAAAATTCATGTATTTTCTATTTGGTTTAACCTCGGCAGACAGGGGAGGCCATTCATTTGATCAACATTAGTTGAGGTGTTGGGAATCTTGCACACAGTGCATGGTTTTGAATGTCTTATTCATGTATATTCATATATTGTATACTGCCCAAAGATTGCGTGTAGTTGAGATTCATGTTGAGCGAAACACAGTGGGGTTAACTTAATGTTTTCATTTTCGGAATGTTATCGATAAATTTATTTTTATTATTCATCTGGTTGTCAGATTGGAGATATCTTAGGCCTCTGAGCAAACTGCCAGTAGGAGAATAACGTGCGGAACAATTGATTTTTGTTTTTATTTTGTTTATCAATGAATTCATTTTTACATTTGGTCTGTCATATTACGTGAAATTCTTTTTAAAAAATGGTGTACCTTCTTGTGTTGTTCAGTCGCATTTCGATAGTGATAACTTGAATGGAGTGTAATGACTGCTTGAAAACACTGATATGCATTCGCTTTGCTGAGCACTAGAGCAGGTACACTTCTAGATTTCAAATGGAATTGACTTGTTCGAGGAAGGTGAGGAGGAGCGACGGGGTGAGGAATTAAGTTCTTTTTCTTTAAGTTAGGAAATATCCTTTGGTCCTTACACCGTGGAACAGGTTCATAAGTATTTTTGTTTTTATGTGTTCATGACAAAAAGCATATAATCATCTGAACACCATTTAATACCCTTATTATGGGTCAGTTGATTAACTTTGCTAATTACAGTGGCTTGAGGAGTATTTCTTGAAGAAGCAGATACCTTATTAAGGAAATAATCACAAACTTATCAACAGCAGCTTTTGTATATAGTATTTTCTTTCTATTGCTCTAAGATACAGCAGCTTTTCACCTCAAATGAACAGAAATTCTAATTTATATCTTTAAAATATGTTTATCTTAATAGATACTAGTTCTAATTTAGGTACATATAAATGTACACTCCCGTGAAAAGCAATAATGTGAAAAGTATCAAGCACACAGCCTGGAGGAGACCAATTATGAACTGATCAACATCTGGTCGGTGTATGTCTCTTTTTCCGCTTGATCTCTAAAAAAAATTAGGACAGTGAGCAAGAGTTAGAAGCACTCATTCGTTGTTTAGATAGGAAATGAGGTGGACTCGCTGCTGCAGTATGACATTTTGTGTAAGTGAAAGTGAAACAGAGGATGTGCTTTTTTCTTTCGCTTTGTTTTGTTTTTCACTCGTACAGTTGTTTGTAAGTACAAGCCAGTAAGAGTTTTTTAATTTCCAATTTTTTGTGTACTTAGTACATACAGTACATGTTTCTTACCTAAAAATATCCCTCTCACCATTACGCTCGAAGTCTTTCTTCGATTTTGAGGGACACCGCTCCCTGAACAAGTTTCTCTCTTTTCTTTGGCTTTTTTTTTTTGGTAATTTCTTGGTATTATTTTCTGAGAACACTTGTCTTTAGGTGCAAGCCAACATAACCGTTAATTTGAAAGTGTCAGAGCTGTTGTTGCCTCCTGCGTGTCAACAATTGCCATCGAGAGCCAAACGGGCAAAAGCCATACTCAAACTGTTTGTTGCAGTTTTAGTGATTAAGGACTTGAGTTCATTTGTATTCATTCAAATGTTCTTTTCGTCATCTGAACTGAAGGAAAGTTTGTTGTCACTTATGACAAAATTTATAAGTTTTCCTACCTTTACGTACTTCCTCATTATGTCTGCCCTGAAAAATAAATGAATAAATAAACTCATAGAGAGATAAAAAAAAAATACATGTTGTTATTATCAGTTTTAGGACTTTCGTAATTTACTCTTGTTTCAGACAACTTGCCACATAAAGTTGGTTGTGATTAACCATTTAATTTCCAGATCAAATTTGTAATTCTCCTTACTGGTAACCATACAATTCTTAAAATGTTAGATCAGAGAATTTAGTATTGGATCAACTAATTATCCCAAAGTAATATTTTTCTTTATTTGCATCACTTTTCTGGTTGATATTAGAGTGATAGCATAAGGAGAAATTCTGTCTCGGTCACTCATGGGAGTTACAGGGTTAAGAAACTTCGTGATGGCAATCAGGAAATTAGTACTTACTCTTGTTTCACTCGAGGTTGTTTCCTGGGCACGAGCTGAAAAAAATGCAAACAGACATATACTTAGTAGTTGAAGCTGTTTTAGCAAAAGTTGTTTAAACTTCTACATGCATCTTACAAACCAAAGATTTGATTTTTCCCCCGTTGTCATATGGTTAATGTGGCCTCCTTATGATGTTAACCGTTCCTTATTGTGCACCTATTATGAAAAGTTTTGAAAAGAAATCGGTGATTTATGCCTCAAGATTGCAGAACTTACTTCTACCGGCTGGATGACATTTCCTTTAGCATTTGAACCTCCTTGAGTACTTCTGAAAATATCAATGGTTGAAGGCTGTGTTGTTTAAATATCTTATCATTAAGAAATACATTTCTGAACAATAGATACCAAATTAAAAGTTAGTTATGAAATAATTTATCATACTAATTAACAGGTCAGTTTCTTCAGCTTAAATATGAAGATTCAATTGACAATCAAACAACAAAAAGACAATGAATAATTGTGTACTATTGCATTCCAAAAGCATTTTCCTTACCTGCTTGGAGGCATATCCTGAAAATCCAGGGTAACTGCTGTGGAGGGTGCCTTTAGTTGAGATGGTGAGAAAGGAACATTTGAAGTGAAGTTGCTTATTTTAATAACCCTCCAATTTGGTTTTTGGTAAATAAGAATAGAAAAGAGAAATAGTACAAAATCCGCCACATATGTATATGCGATGGTTATACCTGAACAGTTTCCTGAGTAATTTCCCTGTCTCCATGATCGAGAGATGACACTAGAGAGTCATTATCCTCCCCACTGCTGCCTCTGCTTTCACTGCTGTCACTGCTGTAGTGTATTTCGGAATTTCTGTAATACTTAAATGCAAATGACATAAAAGGTTTTACTCAGAGTCGCTTCCATAATGTTGCAGGTTAACTCTTTTCCCCGAATATCAGTTGAAAAAACGATCCTATGCGCATATGCTGTAGCTTAAATTCTATCGTATCCATGTGAAGACGTTTTGATTTTTTCTTTGCTTGTAATTCTCTTATAATGTTTAAATTGTATAACCTTCATCTTGTCCCTTACACGTATTTACGGCGTTTTTATCTCTGTATGATTTAGGCCAACATGAAGGAAGGGCAATTGGAACTACGAGTGTGTACTTCGGAAAACTGTCCTGTTCAGAGACAAGCTGAAAGTCATCGTGAGTCAAAAGTTTTCACTATAGTATTGTTATTTTGTGGTTAATTTTTATGTCAAAAGCATGGCATATCATTCTCCGATCGGGCTTGGAAAATATAACCTAAAAGTATGTAAAAAAAATCAACAGAAATGGCCATAATCTCCAGTACATTTTTTAGGAATTGCGATTGCCTGCAAAACTTTCGATGCCAACTATTTCGTTAGATGTCCTATCATAATTTTAGCAGTAATTTGTAGCGCTCGGGTCTGCCATTCAGCTTTAACTTCCCTAATTCCTAGTTGGAAGTCTTGAAGCAAGTGTCCTTTCATTTAGAGAAATTCCACTTACCCAGGAGTTGCCTCTCTTCTCCGCCATGTTGTTGTGAACGTTTGAAGTGAGAGATCTGGAAACGAACAAAACATTTCCCAACATCCCTAGCGGGTTACATAACAATCTTCCACAACCAAGGGAGAAGCTCTTTATTAAATATCTTTATTTAAGAACCCTTTTATTTTCTAATCTGTTATGTCCAAGAGAGAGGATAACATTTGACTAAAGGTCTGGTAGCCTATTATGTGCCACTTGGAGCAAATGAATGAAGGCTATTTGTTTTAGAGCGAGTCAGCGTCGTGATATTGTGAGCATACACTGTTTTAGTCTATCGCTTGCAATCTTTATCATCCTTTCCGTCCTTAATCTTTTTCGTTCTGTTAAAGGTTATTGTGATTGATTGTGAACGTTGGCTGGCTTTCCCAATTTTCCTGAATATTTTACCTGTTTTGCAGGAAGAATTTTGATTTGTTTTCCTTCGAATTTCGTGACAAGAAATTCTGCTAAAAATATGAAAACGTGACGGTAAGCTGTCAAAGGGGATACGCTTCTGAATTGAAATAATTGCAAATTAAGGCAACACGTGAGTCTTGTAAGCGGTTTTCAAACCCTTTCAAACCCTTTCAATGTCAATGCACTAGAGTGTTATTCGGACATGTGTGGATGAGGTGTCCCTAATTATCAGACCTCTTGCATATCGGTAAAAGCTTGTCTTGATTTGGTTTGAGGGAATATGATCTATAACCAAAGTCGTTTCAATTGGTACATAATATTTGATCTGTATACTTGAGAGAAACAACTCAGAGCTTTGACACTAATCTGCCTTATCTATGGGGGGTGAAGACATTTACGAAATTCTATTTTCGTTTGTCTTTAGTTTGACTCATCGGAAACTTTCGGTTTTACAGGCGTTCCTCTTTTTTTTATTATTTTTTTCTCGTGAAAAGAGTAGCATAGCTGCATTACGATAGTATTTGTTTACAATCTTGTGCATTCAGCCTATTAGTCGTAACCAAGTCACTCTTGTCAGCGGAAATGTTGAAACTATTTCGTAACCTGCATTCAAAGCAAAAGTTTCTAGCATTTTCAAAGTCAGATTTATCAAGTTTAACTTCGAAGTATATGTATCAGGGTGGAAAGGCACCATCTTGCTGAGTTGAGTCTTTCATATCTTGCAGTTTATGTCATTTCCCGCCTTTCGTGATTGCTTATTGATTGTGGTGACCGTTTTCTGTCCTTTGTAAACTGACGATGTAGACATCAAAAACGAAGTACTGAAGCAAGTTGAGCATTCGAGAGTTCTAACCATCCTGAATAGAAACATTAACGGGCAAAGATAATGTAGCTCCCTAGCAGCTTTCAGTCAAATTACGAGTCAAATTCTCGTGACTTCAGCGAATCAATCAGGGTTGATTGACACCTCTTCTGGTTGGCCACTTGAAATTCTTGCGGCTCAAATGAGTCTTAATGTAGATGACCTCGGGCTAGAATTTCCTTTGTATACTTTTATCTGTCATCTATTTTTATCCCTCTCAAACTAAATCGACTGAGTTGAGTGCTTGTGCTCGTCTTAACTTTTACCTTGACATGCTCAATCAAAACTTGCTAACCCTCTTAAAAATTGAAATTAAACCTATACTTAAATTTGCTTTTCTTTGCTCTTCCAGTGTGTAGTGGAGACATAAATAATTCCATTCTCTTGCATGCACAAGAGTCGGCATTCTCAACGCTCTGTCTTTTTACAATCAGTGTGTGTCTAAAACGTTTCATAAACATAGAGGGTGATTCGGGATTGACGGAATCAACTTTTGAACTGTTGTTTGTTAAAATAATTTGTCTGACTCGAGACAGATTTAGCCCAAAATTAGCTTCATTGGTATTCGAGTTTCTAAAATGCTTACTTTGCCTATTAGTGGATGATTTTAGCAGCACGTTAAGTTCACTCTTCTCGATAAATCTTCAGTAATTAATTCTACTTTGTTAACGGATACTTTATGTTCAGTTTCCGTCCCCAAAAACTGTTAAGGGGGTCTTGGTTGTTTCCGTTCGAGCGTGACGTAGAAATGCAGATGCAGACCATCGCGTTCAAATGCAAATATGATACTGTTTATTTGACTGTGGGCTGGATCTTTGAATGAGTAGATGAAAGAAGCGCGTCAACTGACAGAAACTCGCTTTTGTTTTTGCTATAGACTCAATCTTGAGGCATTTTTGTACAAGGTTTTCTTTGTTTTTATTCAGTGAAATGATTTATACAGTAAACATGTATGAGAGAATGAATAATTTAACAAAAAGGATTATGAGACAGTGAACCAGAGCCATGTAAACAAAGTTTTCTTAACGTCTAGGCCTGAAAACCTACGGATCTACGGATTCTCTCGAACTGGAGGTAAATGTGTCGAGAACAAGAGGCATCCTTAGCGATGATCATTTCCCTGGGTAGGGCCGTTTCTTGATGTTTGCATACCAATGTTCACTCTTTCTGTTTCCTGTAGAAAAGAAAACATGTAAAGTTACCAAATAAGTACGTAAGTAGATTGATAAACAGCCCTCACCACAGAAGTCAGAGAGCTGAAAGTTTTGCGTTATGTTTGTTGGTTCCTTGATGCAGCCTTAAAAAAACAAGGAACAAACAGGGAAATAAACTATCCTGCGTTAAAAGATTTTTTTCCAGCTAACGCTTACCTGATCAGCAGGGAACATCCGATACACACGTGGTCGCAATGTAAACCCGCAGTTTCTTAAAAAAAAAAAAAAAAGGCTTTCATTTCTCGTTCAAAACATTTCCTTTATCACGCGAGTTTGATTTCAGTGATAACCACTGAGAGCTACATAACCATTTAGTGAGTAACACCTACTCTGGTTTAACATATAAAAAAACTCCAGGAACAGTGCAGATTACTTCGTGTAGTCCTCAGTCTTTGATCATGAAGGTTGTATGGATCAAAGAAAAATCACTTCTACTACAGGAGCTGTAATGCCAAAATCTTGCGCCATATATGGGAGGGGCCTTTAGGGTATTTTCTTGTCACCCATGGCTACTTTAGTAGTTCTTCTTTTTTATTTCTTGGTAATCGTTTACGAGTGTAATTCCGTGTATTCTTATCTAGTATAATAGTATATTAATCTTCGTATTATTCAAGAATGATATATTGATAAAGATATGGTATTAAAATTGACCAAAAGAATTATATTATAAATGCGGTAAAGAATAAAGATATTAAAATAACAGTTTATCTATATTAGTTAAGACTAACAGTGTACAATATATAGCACTGTGGAAAAGTAAAGAATATGATATTAAGTCAAAATTTATGATTAATTGGTCAATAATCTTTTGTTTCTCATTTGATATCGTGGCTAATGCCTCATCTTTAGAGGAATCATTATACTGGGTTTTCTTGTGATATCTCATACGGTCAACTATAGCATCAATGGAAAAGTATGATTTATCTATGTTGTCTTTGATTACCAGTCTTTTGTGAAGTAATCTTACTCTCTTAAATTGTTGTTCACTGTCTACAGCAACATTATACTCAACTTTCTTTCTCTTTTTTAATGGATTTGATCTAATATTTAATCAACTGATATAACAACTCTTTCCGTTGTCTAAAGATTTTTTTTATCAGCAGAAGGAGCTGTGACAATGTGCTCAATTTTTGGGTTATTCTTTCTGTTTTTGTAAACCTAGCTGTTTTGTTAGACAAATGCCATCTCAACCTTGGATTCAGTTTTTCACATGTTGAACTTACATGTATTCTACTGTCATCAAACATTATCTTATATATCGTACCATTCTTGTATAGACTATTAAACTTACTATAATTATGTCAATCCAACATTGGTTGTACTCTGGTAGCTCTTTGAAGTTCAGATGAATGAACTCAAACTTTCTGGTACGAGATAATGCGGTATAGAATTGTCTTTTACCCTTGCGATTGACATCGCAGATATTATAGTTCTCATTGATGTCTGCACCTTGGTATTATAAACTGTAACACTCAAACTAGGGATGAAGTATTCTGCAGACTTACTAATGTCAAACCATCCACCATTTATCTTAACGTTGTTATGTTTAATATCCTGCACAATAAACTCCATTGTACTGAACATTTGTTTGTCTTTGATATTTTGTGTTGCAGTTATAGGAGTACTAACACATACCTTGTATTTCTCAGTCTTACCATCATACTTTAAGTCAATGGTCCCTTTTTTTGTTTTGTACAAATCTATCACAGCATTCTGTATTTACTCTTATCCTGGTAGTATTCATAGAACAGATATTCTCATTGTACTTACCTATTGGTTCAAAGTAAGGGGATATCTTATCAGTCTTGAGGAATGTATCGAGCATATTATTGGTCTCTTTCTCATATCTATCAGTACGTTCAATGTATTATATTTTTTGTTGTGCGACACATTTGATTGATAGTAGCTGATAACTGATAATGATAATGCACTTGACTACCAGCTTCTACAGGTTGACATTGATTGCAATCACCAAACGAGTATACCTTGTTATTGAACATTGTAAAAGCTTTACAAATTGTAGTAATCCATTTATTAGGTACCATATTAAACTCCTCAGTGAAGATATCTTTACCTTCAAGGCTATCAATACTCTTATCCACAAGTAACTATCAAAAGTGTAACACATTTTATTGACCTGTGTCTTGTCGTATCCAAAAGCTTGCAAACTTGCTTTGACATTATTTACGGCTTTATTAGTACAAGACAACACAATACATTTATCTGACTGTTTAACCAACTCACAGAGCTCTTGTGTTTCACCACGGCCAGCCTGTTCATTATGTAACACACCATCTCCTTTTTTGACATGACAGTCATCAAAGCACATATTTTCTCTTTAATGCTTTTCAATGTATGTTAGCTCGGAATCTGTCTTGAATGCTTTGCCAATTTTTTTTTTTGTTTTTTTTGAGCTAAACTTATATCTTTCTTGTTCCTGAAATTCATTTTACTGCTTGTGCTATAAATACCGTCTGCATTACAACCATATAATACACTATCTTCAGAATAGCAACAATCAATGAGCTGCAAACACTTTAGTATGGCCTATGGTATTGTCAGAGAACAACCTCTCCACTCTCTGCTCTCTGATCATATACAAGTCATCATGGTGATCAATAGGAAGGTTCTCTTCTCATTCATGGCAGATGTCCAACAACGCATAGCAGTATCATATTCTGTGCATGTACAACCACGGTTGATCTTGTCATACTTCCTACCAAGTTCACCGATGAAACTATTGGCCATCTTCTTGGCTTCAGCTTCTGGTTATTCATTCAAAACAAACTTACAGGTAAGATACTCCTTGAAAGTATCTGGTTTAGGGGCTCTTTTAGATGTGATGTCGTATTTTATCTGTGTGATTGGCATGTATATACATCTACTGAGTCTCTTACAAGATTAGCACTGTAAAAATCTACTTCTATAATAATGAGTGACTTGTAATAGTTGATAACAGTCTCGTCAACATAAAACTTAGCACATACTGTACAAAGGTATTGGATGGGTACTACTTAATAGTACATTAGGATAGGACTTACAGATGTCCATATTTACTACATTATCTGGTATAACATCTGTTGAACACCATTTTAATGCCCTTGGATGAAAGTCATCCAACATCTGTTTAGCAGTCTCATTATACAATCATCACGGTACCTTTGCTATAAAACATATTTCATGGGACATGTTTTTACATTTTTTGTATTCATAATTCTTACATTCTTTATATTCATTGAAACATAATCATTAACCAACTTCTTATACTTCTCCTCTATTGTTTCAATAGTATTGTCCATTTCCTCACTCTTGTTCATTATTTTCTGTATTTTGTATTTGTACCTTGGTGGAGGTACAGGTGCTACTTCTGTTGCCTTTTCAAATTCTGATCCTATTTGCTTAACACTTTTCATACCTACCACAGCTTTTGGTCCACTTGATTGCTGCTTCATCAACAGGTAAATCAATTCAGATTTGCTCATTTTTTCCATACTGTCTATTCATATTCTTGCTTTGGATAATATTTCCATTAACATTAAATATAGGTGTATTGCATTTAAATACTTTTGTGTTGTTCTTTAAATCCATTTTAAATTTTCATTCCTCTTAAATTGGTTTTAATAATATAAACTACATATATTTAATTCTAAGATCTTTAACAATACATAATTACTCTTCAACAATTTTATGAATGTATTTCAAATGTGTACCAAATGTTTCATCTGTTTTGAATTGTATATTACAATGGTCACATTTAATTCTAACATCTTTCATAAATTCACGTGTCTCTCGAATAGTCTCATCTTAATCATTAGATATCGTACACTTGTATCCTTCTAGTATTTTTCAATCATGGCTAATTGTTTATCAGATACCTTGTAATTTCAATTGTTTTAAACTCCACATGAAAGCCTCTGTGAGTAAGGTGATTGTCAGCAATAATAATATCTGGTTGACCACCTGTAATGCCTTTTTTATACAAACTAATTCTCTTGTATGACGTATCTTAGTTCTCTCCTCATTGGGCAATAGTATTAGTAGTATCCGGAAACCGCTTTCCAATGAATGCAACAACTTTATAATGTACATTTGTCTCTTGTCTCTATTTTAAACATCTTACTATCTGGATTATCAAACAATCTATACTGACCATATTTACTGATTGTTGGAAGTACTTTACTTGTAACCCAGTGTTTGAACTTCTTAGCTGATTCTAATTTACTTGATAATGATAAAGAGTATAACCCAGATTCATTGATGAATATGGTGTGATGTGTGCGTTTGGTTTTTTTATGAGCCTTAGAAAGACCCGTCGATTTAACGGGTCCACTTTCTTTTGTCCTCAGAGTATACATGTTTTCTTATGGCTTGATTAGTATCTACATCTCTAAGTATTTCAGCCACTTGTTTACTCTTAAATCAGATATTCTGTTCATCATCAATGTGAGCTGTTATTTTAACCTTAAAATTATTATTATTACATACCCATTCATTAAAAGTTATTATACTATACACAAGTGACTTACGTTTAAGTACTTTTCATATTGTTCTTTAAATCCCTTGAGATAATTTTATATGGGCTGAAGCAGGGGGTCGTTTTTACACCCTCAGCTCTTAGCCGAAAAATGGTTTTTGTTATTACACGGCTCTCGGTAGTAATTTTTATACTCTCTTTCCTTCAACAACTTATTAAACTTCTTTTCATCTGACTACTTTAATCTTCTTTTCATATGACGACTTATTAATGAAATTATCTTCTGCTTCAGCCTCGTGAAAGCCATTAAACAGCTCTTATTTTCTGTGTTACAAGAAATATATCTGTCTTTCATATACTATCTTTTTTAATATTAATCAAATCCTTAATTGGTATCCAATTGTTGAAATCATCATCATATCCTTTCCACTTCACCGGAGCTTGTTCTTGTTTCTTTTTATATTTTCTCCGAATAAACTCTGAAAACTTAATGTTTTGCTTGCAATAATTCAGGTTCATAAAATGATCCTTTTTACTTCATTTTTCAAATCCTTTATTTTGTAAGTGATGGGATTGGTATACAAAACTTTGTCAACAATAAACATCTCTTCTGTCCAATTTGGAGTATATCCTTTGACAAATCTTTTACTCTTGTATTTTGATATTCTCACCTTATCCCCAACTTTGAATTTTGGTTTTGTTGATGTCTCTATATCACCATATAAATTAAAATAAACAGTCCCTTTATTCTTCTTTATGCTTGCTTCAGTTGGTGTCATTTTTAGGCTTGAATGTTTTGTGGTGTTGTATTTTAACACTATTTGAGGAAATATGTCAAGATCTTGTGTGTTGCCTTGGACTGTGAACTGTTTTCACATTCTTTGTTTTATTGTTCTGTTCCATCTTTCAACAACAATGAATTTTTCTCCATTTTCAGTTGAGTACATTTTAACACTCTTTTTGTCTAATAATTCTTTGAGATGTTTATAATAGAACTCCTTACCCATGTAAACCCATAGATATTGTGGTTGTCTGCCTTCCTTTAATGTGCTGTTGAATGCCTTAGTCACAGTTTCACCTTTCTTGTCTTTTTAAGGTTTTATCAAACCATATTTGCTGAATTTTCATGTTAAGTTCAACACTTTAGATCCAACTATTTCGCATTCATCACATTTCACATTCATTGATTCCAACAAAACATTAAAAGTAATACTTAATGGATATTATGAAATTATTCTTTCCGGTTATTATTAAGGCAACAATAGTAATGACACATTATTATTATCACCCACATCACGGGTAAAAGACCATCATACAACACCATGTTTGAATTTATCAACTCAAACAACAAATGGGTCACATATTGTATCATCCAATTCATCATGAATTATTTGATTACAATAAATTGTCTATATTAATGCATAGATAATATATCTATAAATGTGTTCTTGGTTTTCTTAAATTTTCTAATATATTATGTAATTCTTTGTCTGCTTCTAATATATCATCATCTGTGAAATGTCTTATGTTACTCCAGTCATCAAAGTAAAAGACATCATTCAGTTCACTATCATCTATAAAACTACTGTCATAACTATCATCTGAATATGTCTAATAATGTATACTATTACATTAGATAAAAATACATGGAATTAACCCTGTTAATGATTACCAAGAAATAAAAAAGAAGAATAATTGGCACAGGAGCTGTGGATGACAAAAAAATGCCCTGATGGTCCTTTCTATATATAGCGCGAGATTTGGCATTACAGCTCCTGTAGTACTTTAGATTGTTACTTACGTGGTAGGGATACGTAAGTCGTTTTGCTGTGAACATTGGGTCATTATTTCTCCTCGCTCAGTCAACGACATTTCATGAAAGCCCTAATGAAGTTAAGAAAAAATTAAGGTTTTGCTAATGTTTGTTGGTTCTTTGATGTAGCCTTTTGACGTTTGTATACGATAATGTAGTAAGAGAAACAAGAAACAAAGAGAGAAACAAAGTATCCTGATAACAATGGGGATATGGGTGCTGCGTTATAAGATTTTCTCCCAGCTAACGCTTACCTGATCAGCAGCGGACATCCTATATACTCGTGGTCGCAATGTAAACCCGCAGTTTCTTAAAAAAAAAAAAAAAAAAAAAAAAAAGGGTGTTTATTTCTCGTTCAAAACATTTCCTTTTTCTCATGAGTTTGATTTCAGTGATAACTACTGAGAGTTACATTACCATCAAAGGAGTAACAGCTACTCTGGTTTAACATAAAAAACCACTAGGAACAGTGCAGGTTACTTCTTGTAGTCCTCTGCCTTTGATCATAATGGGTTGTATAGTTCAAAGAAAAATCACTTTACATTGTTGCTTACGTGTTAACGATACGCAAGTCGTTTTGCTGTGAACACTGGGTCACTATTTTTCCTCGCTCAGTCAACCACATTTCATGAACGCCCTAATAAAGTAAAAAAAAAATGATGAAAGTTTTTGGAGGAAAGTGCGCATGTGATTAAAGGAAGATAGTCCACAAAGATAAAGCCCATGGTATTTTCGATAAGAAGTATCAGGCTTGTAATTCACCTGCGGCTAACTAGTTTGCCTTATTTTTAAAACCAATTTGAGGATGAAACCTTCATTTTCCCACCTCAGTCAACCACAGTGCGATTTTTCTTAAACTGTAACCTGACAAAATCTGAACTTAGCAGGGTCATGACCGATAATATAGCTCTTCCTTTGCATGATAAGAGTAGTTTAACACTTATTGTATTTTATTCTTTTTTTTTTTAGGAAAACCAGAATTCACCTCACAGTCTAATCCAGTTGCGATTCCACCCAGCGGAAAGAGGGATCCATAGACCATCTGAAATTGCTGGGCTGCCATCTTTCTTGATCCTGCATCGAATACAAAACGATGAGCGTAACAGTATTTTATCAGTATAATGTAAAGTGTTTGTCTACAGTGTGAGTATCGCGGAACACTGAAGGTGAATGGAAACCAAAGGAATAGGGATCCTTCATTTTGTCTTATTCCTGTGTTATGTGACACTGAATAGATTTATCTGATTTTGTTTTTCAGATTTTTGTTCGTGGTAGCAGTCAGCAAGTTTTAAGCTGTAATGTGATACTTTGTTGAGCTGTTTTGGATATAAAGCTAGAGCTTGGGGACATCAATGAATCCGTGAACGTCGACGAGTTTAGGAACGGATTCATCGGCGTGGTGGCAGGGGACACATCCTCGTTTTAGAATGTTCAATAATTCAAAAGTAAAATCTTACAAAAAGATATGAGAGGCAACAGAAGCACTTGCCTTTTAAGAATAAAAAAAATCGAAAGTAGCCATAGAAAACCCTGATTCCTACACACGACCACGTGTGTGCCTCCTTTTTCTGCTCCACGTGAAATTGAAAGAAGACCTTATGATTATGAAGAAAATGTCGCAAAGATAATAAAATCCTTACTTACCGCTCGCCTGTAGACTAAGGAGTTATGAACTGAGATGTGCAATAAGCTCTGACTCTTGCTTCGTTTTCCAGTTCGGCGTCGTTTGTCTAGCTCATTATGCCTCATTACATGCGCGGACAACAAATATCGCTGACCAAAAATTCTGGTAAGGTCCGAATTAAGTCTTTGCCACCAAAGTGGCGACTGGCCTTTTTTCTAATGGGTGCAATTATTTCCGTTTATTATTGGTATGTTGAAGTATTTGCGCAGAATGCGTTCCCTTGCGCTGATAGAGCTGCTTATAACATAAATTTGTTGACTTGGACCGAAAAGAATGCCCTTGATAAGCGGTGAGTACGAGAATTATTCTCTGAACGTCACCGCGAAAAGTTTCCGTCTTCGCAACCTTCGATGTGTTCATGACCCTGGTAGAGTTTTGTTTACTTCGCCACGCTTTAAAATCTTTCGAATCCTTTCTTGGTGAAACAGTAGCCAAGGGACCACAGAAGTAACTTGTCTTGTACTTACAGCCAATAAAACCTGTTGCAGTCTTCCCTTTAAGAATCGAGAAAGTTGAATGACTGCTACAGCTAAGAGATGCTAGTGAAATTTCGTCGTTGACCTTAGCGTTCTTAATAGCAGTACGCTGTTGAGAAAATTTCATGATTGCAACCTCAATAATATTGTTGCGCGTTTGGGAAATTCCCACCCAATCACTTGATTCTTCAGTGATGATGACGTCATCTATAAAATTCGCACTCTTCGAAGCGTTCTTGAGCCACTAATGTGAAGCTTTGTTTACTCACATAAGGTATTTAACTGCAGTGCAAGTCATGCAGAGAGGTGAAATGTTTTTTAAAGGCAAAATAGCGTTCAGTCAAGTCTGGAATTTTAAATGCCACGTAGGGCCTAGATGTGCCCAAGCTTGCATCTTTCTTAATGAGCAAAAGAATAGATTGCTGTCACTAAATGCCAGTCACAACAGCGAGAGACAGTTCATTGGTTATCTAGAAAGTGCCTCGATTGCAGAATGGCGTAGCTAGAGAGATCATCAGATTATGTATGTATGTAATATCGTTTTCTTAGAGAAGTTTTCTTGTTAAATCTTCATTCGATGGCTAGCAATGGCCAAAAGATATTGAAATTGAAGGGACCATACCTGGGATAAGACAATGCGATCCACTTTTTTAGTTTGGCATGAAGCTGCTATGAGCTGTCATGTTTTTATTTTTTTACATTCATCTACTTAGTTCTTAGAGGCATGCAGTGTCACCGACTCCTGAAGAATTGAGAAAGATCATCAACATTATTTTCCCGGTGTCTTTTTAAAAAGCGTAAGTTAATGAATGCTGAAGGGTCTATTTACACGGTACGACTTTGTCGCATGCGACAAGCTTACGACAGGCTTACGACACGAATTGTTTCGTGTAAATCAAACCTACAACTCGCTTACGACTCTTAAGTCATGTCGTAGGCCTGTCGTAAGCTTGTCGCATGCGACAAAGTCGTGCCGTGTAAATAGGCCTTAAGGCGACTAGCGATCAGGGGATCTATAAATCGCTTGAAGGACACACAGTTAGCCTCATTTGGTCATGTTATTTTAAACCGTTGTGTCTAGTGAAGCGATTTCACGCTCAACTGAATTTGCATTTCTTGTTGATAGCACGGTTGCCTTATCCCGTAGCTCACGTAAATTTATGTTGTTATATAATTATACTCATGACCAGATCAACTTTCTGTAGAATAGAAATCTTACGGCAGCTCAACAGTGTCCTTGCTGAAGCGAAAGGAAGGTTGAGCAAACCTAAAATCATGCACGATTGCATCTAGTCTATCGAGTGAATTTGAATAACTGGGAGGGGAGGCAAGGGCTAACTAAGTCAAACAGAGATGAGAGAGGCACAGTGTAGGCCTTCTGAGACACTGGTTCTTCGTTCCTACCGTCAAGAAAGTGGGATCGAGATTATGCACGGCCGTGGTCTTTCACGAAAAACTCAGAGTTTGTTTTAAAACGAAGCATGTGAAAAGCCTTAGTTCTGAACATTATTTCCTCATTGTGATAAAGGTAAATGCACTTAAGCGTTAAGCTTGATTTTATTTTCAGAGTGAGATGAACTTGCAAGGGGGTCAAGCATTCTTTGATTGAAATCTTATCGTTCGGTTAGTTTTCATACGAGTGATGGACACTGGCTCACGTAGTTAATAGAGACCGAATTACAGAGCAGGGGAAATAAAAAGGATGGTTTTTACTCTTTTCTTTCCACAATTATTTTCGTTTTTTTTTTTATTGAGGTCCCCCTCTATTACAGGGGCGATAATAAATGTTGGCCACGTGAGATTCTGGTACCTCTTGAGTGGGATTTTTACTAACGATCGCCTTCGTCCGTTTTATCGGGGATCACTTCCCGGGTAAAAACATTTATAAGTACTTGCACTAAGTTGTCAAATTTTACAATAGTCGTCTTTTGCTTATGCTCTGCCCTCTGACTCCTGTAACTTCTGCTCGCAAACAGGTGAGGTTGTCCTAGTTCTGAAGCCTTACAAATTCTTTCAAGATAACTCTAGAAAACGAAAGGCTATTATCAAGTCAAACATTTGCCGCTCTTTTCTTGACAACGCATTCTAAGAAATACACGAAATCTTTCGTACTAAACCGAGACCGCGATAAGGTTACCAGAGAAAAGAAAGAGCCACGTGAGCACTGGATGTCTAAAATTCTTTATTTTGAGTTCATGTTGATATAAAGCTCTGAAACCCTACAACTGTGAGATATCTTATAATAGAAGTCTCGTTCGAAGTCAATCTTTATCTTCAACTTTAATGAAAGAAGGCTAATTGACTCGGTACTTTACTTAACTAACAACGGATATGACGGATACTAGTTGTCAACTGCCAAATTACGACTTACTTGGAGGGAACCTAAAACTTCACCAAAACCTTTCTTAATTTTGGTATCGACAGTGAACTGAAAAGTTAAATTGGGATATTTTCTGATTCCCTAGAAGCAAAACACCGCAGTTCTAATCAACTTCGTCTCTAACTTTTCTTCGATCAATTGGAATCTCTTTTCTACTCTTTTAAGAAGTCAAAACATTAGTGCTTTCATAATAAACTTCTTTTGATTGGTAACATTACTTAAATTATGTCTCTTTGAATAGCCCAACGTTTTGACCAATGATACACAAGTAATTCATGGATTGAAATGTTCCTAGAGTACGACTACTCGTACGCTACTAGAGTTACCTTGAGATGCAAATCTGATTGCAGCAATAAGCTAATGTTGGGGAAACGTTTCCCTTATAAAAAGTCGAAAACAGGAATTACAGGATCGAATATCAAAGAAGAGAAGAAACTGGAGAATCTTATTTACCTGACTTTACCTGGCTTACGCACATCATAAACAACTGCATAAAGCGATCATATTTTCCTACAAAATGGAAAATGGCAAGAGTCTCTCCTATTCCTAAGGTGGTCAACCCAACCTCGATGAATGAACTGCGGCCTATCTCGATACTTCCGGTTTTATCCAAAGTATTTGAGAAAGCTGTTGGAATACAAATAATGTCATTTGCTGAGAGGGCCTCCATTTTGCATGAGGGTCTCTGAAGCTTCCGGAAGGGTCACTCAACAACAACTGCACTCCTGGGCTTGAGAGATGTTATCCGGAAAGCTATGGATAAAGGGGAAGTTACCCTTATGGTTATGGCAGATTTTACCAAGGCATTTGACACTATTTGTTTCAGAACTACCTTGCTAAAGCTCCACAAGTTAGGGTTTATCAAGCCCTCTCTGAAGTGGCTTCTAAGCTACTTATGCGATTGCTGTCAATTCGTACAGATCGACGACAAATCTTCGTCTTGCCAGACAATTGCTTTTGGGATTCCCCAAGGATCTATACTGGGACCTATAATTTTTAATCTGTACGTTTCGGACTTAAAAGACGTCATCCCTGCATCTATAAAATGCTCACAGTACGCTTACGATACGACCCTATGCCATCATACCCCAGTGCAAGACTTGGCTGGTGGTGTGTCGTTGATGAATAATGCACTCTCCGAGCTCCACAGCTGGTTTAAGGAATCTAATCTAGCTCTTAACCCAGACAAGACAAAGTCTATGATGTTCTCAACAAGGCAAATGTTCACTCGCCGTAATCTGTCGTCATTTCCACTACTGTTGTCTGCTGGAGGAAAGGATCTTGAAAGAATCAAGAACACCAAATTAAACTACTTAGCGTCCACCTTAATGAGAATCTTCTTTGGGATGAACATGTCAAGAACTCAACATCATCATGCTATACTACTCTCGTAAGCCTCAGGAAAATCAAACATTTTACTCTTATTCTCTCCAGACTAGACTATTGTGATATAGTCATGTTCCCACTTCCCCAGCATCTCTTGAAGAGACTTCAACGCATTCAATTTACTGCCGCTAGCTTTGCAACAGGTCGATACGTAAATAGTTTTGAATCCTTACTTAAGTTAGGTTGGCTACCGGTACGAGAGCGTCGAGACTGGCATCTTCTGAAGACGGCCCATAAAGCTTTATATAGCCACAATTGGCCTCAAACTTTAAGACTCGAAAAGGTGAAACACACACGACTTCTTAGATCAAATAGTACAGTCAACCTGGTGGTTCCGCGTGTTAGTAATACTTTTCAGGACACTGCTGCCCTGATCTTCACAACGCTTCAGGGACAAAATCGTGTGTGGACAGCAAATCATTTTTAAAACAGGCCTTTACTTTTTTGAAATCTCGTCTATCGTAATTTTCTCGATCTTAATTCCAAATGCTTTGTATTATAATTATTAATTGTATATTATCATCATGAATTTGTTAGTTTTTAGCATAGATTAACTTAGTTAGTTTACTCTGGTGAAGAGCCATTCTATGGATAGACCGTAATAAAGCCTTTATTATTATTATTATTATTATTATTATTATTATTATTATTATTATCATCATCATCATTATTATTATTATTATCATTTCTTTAAAGCTGTCCTATACTGTTTTTTTAAATGATGCACAGAGCCCTTTTTCAAGGCTTAGCTATTATAAAGAATAGGAGAATTACTATAATGATTGTACAAATCTACTAGATTGATAAGACTTACGTTTGCTTTTATGATACATCTCGCCTAGCTGACTATTTAGTTTTCAACATTTATCCTCATTTTAACTTATTATCTGTTTTAGGTTCCCGGTTTGGATGTTGGGACGTTTTCTACCCAACACGACTAAAATTCTATATTCCACAATATTTTTCTTGATAACATGTACGTTTGAAGTTTCAGATTTCGTCTCTTACTGACAACAGGGTAGCCAGCAAACACAACCAAGAGGCTCAACAATGCCAACAAGGCTAAGAGGAATTCTTGGTTATTGCTTTCTACAGGCTGAAAAAAATTAAAATATATTTTTTTCTCTTATGCGTTAGTTTTGCGTGTAAGTTAGTTCCTTTTCATCAAAAAATCTACTGATGTCGAATTTTCCTACCATTAGAGCATCATCTTGCTTTATCGGAAAACTGGTGGTAATTATCATTTATAAAACCACAACTAAAGTGATTAAAAAAACTAGTATGTTCCCAAAATTCGAAAGAAGGAAGTATTACATTGTTTTCCACGTGAAAACTTTGTTTGGGACACTACAGTTAAATGTTCGACTTAAGCTGTCTGTGAAATATACAGAGATCCGGCTTAAATAGTCGAAACGATCATCTCTTCACTGGATGCCATCAAGCCATTATAACGAGGCCTCTCTTTAAGGATTGTACTCACCTGTCCGCCTTCCGGTGGCAATGTATCACTTCTTGATTTCGCGTACAAACCTCTGTTTCCACTGGAAGCAAAAATGTGAGTTCTTTAATATGAGATTTAGGAAGATATCGACTATGCAGTATTTTCAGGAGCAAGCTAAATCATTGCTCAGACTATATTAATATCGCATACTCCCACAATACGAACGGAATTTTTTTTTTTGAGGGGGGGTGGTGTGTAGGTGTGGGGTGAGGGAAGACGGCATAAGATGCTCGGAAATTAAAAATGAGCATTTCAAATGATCACCAATTAAAGAAGCTTTTGATTGTTAAACAAATTCTCCTAGTCAGCTCCTTAGAAATTATGTAGAAACAGTATGGAGAATATGCATACTGATGTTATGATGTAAAGGGTCAGTTTACGGAATACAGTCACCTGTACTTGGTAGCTTGCAGACTGTAAGTGATAAAGGATTAAGTTATCTTCATTCGGATTCTTCTGGTGAGCAAACAGGGTTTCCTCGTTCTGTCCGCCGGTGTTCCTTGAATAAAGAGAGAGAGAGAGAGAACTAAATAATAAGTCACAGTCAATAGACAATTGTAAGTAGTTTACAGTGCAATATTCTCAAATCATATGCAGTATGATTTTTACTTATTCCACTAAATGAGCTTTCTACATTGATTGGCTAAAATAGATTTGTCATCAGAATGTACATATGGTTCATGAAACATGCAGAGAGGATATTGGGAAAAAACACTGATGTTAAGCTGAATTGCGCTTCATTTCTTTATTCCAACTAAGACGTTTGGTACATTTCATTTTTTTTATTTGTCTCTTCCGCTTTATAGTCTAAAATTTCAACCCAACCCATTGTTACTTGAAATTATCAATGCCTCCGGTGCATACCTCATCTTTTGGCAGCATTACAAAGTAAAGTTTTCTGCAAAATGAAAAAACCGCAGAAATTTCGTCAACTGCAGAACGACGTTTCATTAAAATAAATTTTGCCCTCGTGATTCTTTCGCTCTTCTGAAGTCCTCCAAGGAGAGTACGTGTGACATTCGAGTGATTTTCCTTAGATTAACGCGCTTAAACATTTTTAAACACCGTCATTAAACGGATTAAATAACTTAATGAATATAGTACAAGTTTCTGTGTAGCCGTAATAAAACAATACTATCAAAAAGTGAATTGGATAGAAGCTTTGGCAACAAAAGGATGTTTTTCATCAAAATGTAATTTCAGAACGGCGCACACAGCAAAAATGCCGATAAGAAACTGGGTCGAGAACGTCGTCACGTTGTGTTGAAAAGAGATTTCGCAAGGAGAACGTACTGTAAATTTTTGTTCTAGAATATCAGTTGACTCTCATTAAAATTCTCGCCGAAATTTAAAGTTAAACAGCTACAATTTAGGGCAACGAAATTAACGTTACTGTTCACCACTTGTCAAGCACCAGCATGGATGACTTCAGCATGATTTACCCCATACGACGTGGTTTGGATACCAAATGAGGTGAATTTTCTATTTCTACTTTTACTTAAACAAAATTTTGGAAAGTAGTTTTAGATTTATTTTCTGTATAATCGAGCCCATTCAATACGTTTTTAGTGAAATTTATGTAATTGTCGTCATTTTTTTTATGCGAGTTGTTTTCGTGAGAACGGCTTTCGTGATCTCTGTATTGCTACTCCTTGGTGGCTTTCCATATCTTAGATCATAGCAAGTAGTGGCTCAAGTTCCTTTCGCGATACTTTAATTTGTTAACAGCCAGCTGCCTCTTTGATATTATTGACGATTATGTTTTTGCTCTTCTATATCACGCCTATTCGTCAAAATCTATTCTCCCATACTGGTAACTCCTCAGATTCAGTGTAGAGGAGTGGAGCGACGTGGACTGTAAGACCAAGCGTAGATTTGCGATTTGTAGATTTTAGGAATTCCCGAAAAAATTACATGGGTGCAAAGAACAGTTTGTGGTGGGATGGAGGGCCTGTGCGTTTTGTTGAAGAGGTTGGCATACCTTGTAAATACACAGACATGGTACCCTGCTTTAGCAGTAATCAGATAGAGCTCTGCTAAATCTTCAACACTTTGATTGATTTTATTTACGATAATTATAACCGTCGACTTCGCAGCTTGGATCAGTTCTTTTTACGGTCTGACCAGCTGTGCAGCTATGCAGAGGCTGTGCACCGTCTTGGTGCTCAATTAAGTAATTTTTTTTGGATTTATTGATGAGTTGCGGACTCCAGTTTAAGGCCACGTGCCCTGTTCACCTATATAAGCGGCATAGAATAAATTTTCAAGAAAGAAAATATTTATAGTACCCAAGCTACGAGGCTGATAGACCGTATAAACGCGACTCGGCCCGTAGCGGATTATGATTGTCAGATTGAATCCCCCCTCCAACGAAGAGAGCTTGTTGGAGAAATTTGATGGCAACAATGGTCCTCCAAATGCAAATGCTTCCCTCCAAATGCTAGGTACCAGTCGAACGCAGGTTAAGAAATCCCAGAAATAACCTTACACCCTCATGAATGCATTTGTATGGTTGGCTTTTATCTCATCGTAATAGATGGACAATCCTATTTCTGAATGTTTGCCGTGTTTAAGACGTATTTGGGCAACGTACTTAATAACGAAGAACCTCAAGTGTCCTCCATGCTATGTTGCCACCAGTAGAACTGTACGTTGATGAAGTGACCCCGTCTAGATGGTACCATCCTCTTATGCCTCTGGTATTTAGAATACTGTGCATGATACCCGGATTTACCGCACAAAGGATGGGAAGATTTGTTGCGAAAGGTAATGGTTTGCCAGAAAATATGGCGTCGAAATCCAACGATATCCGCACATTCAACCAAAGACGAAGATTATTCCCTTGGAGTTTACTAAGAACGAGACCTCAAGGTTGCTGAAGAAGTGAAAGGAGCATAAGACACCTGTATAGGGGGCTGTTCAGACAGAAGCAGGTGTTTCCATGGTCATCATGTTAGAGGATCAGAAGTTAGAAGTCCCCACCGAGTCACAGTAAATATCAGACCCTTTCTGAGATCGGAAGTACCAAATGACTACGCCGGACCGCGGAATGTGAAAATCTGGTGTTCTCTGCTCCAGATCCTGGTTTTTTTTTTTTTGGAATATGGTTAAACAAGCCTCATATGACATCCATACCAAACTGAAAACAACGTACCCATCAAGGAATGGTCAGTCATGAAGTATCTTTTCCCGGTGGTATTTGGAGTAATGAGTAAAGAACCTAAAGAAGATGATGGATTCGCTAGACGTTCCCGACAGCTAGTGGTTTTCATCTGGGGTACGCAAAGTTTCTCGACAGATCTCCCGAAGATGAAGCCATCCTTCGAACAAGGTTTGGTTGGTCTGCCGAGCACCAACAAGGAACCATTTTTGGTAACAACATGATGACATTTCATGGAAAATTATTTTGGACAGTGACTCATTACAGCAACGTTGTAAGTGATGCCGTAGCCTAGAAGTATGCCAGCTTGGTGAAAGAAACTATACTTAAAGCAATCAATTACGTGGAAGACTGAATTGTGATTTCAAAATTTTCCCTGTAGTTTGGTTGAACATCAAGTTTTTTTACATCAAATTTCTCTTAGATAGACATCATTGAAGCTGACTCCAATCGTCAGTTTTAAATTGGTTTCTTGCTTATGTAGAGTCAATTAAGGTTACAAGAGTAATACTACCCATCCAAGAGGTGAATGCGGGGAGAGTTTCAATTGCAATAGCGTCATGATCGTAAAAAACAGGGACCATTTTTATGGGTGTGCGTCGTGTTGTGTTGTTCGTCTAAAAGTTATATTCGCTACGAGAGAGCTCACTGTGGCTATACACAAGATGAAAACGAGGCAGATATTTACAAAATTCTGCGCACATAGCCTTGAATATGTCTACGAATTAATGCTCTGAACGACAACTCGTGACCATTTATGTTTATTCGTTTAATTGAAATCTATAAGTTTATGCCCTGATCAATACAAGTGCCGGCAGAAAGTTAAGTATATAAAGTGACTTCTTGCAGACTATCTCTTACTTTAATTTTTGACGCCGGTATCTTTGCATTGATCGAAGTCACGTCCAGTGGTTTAACTTTGTAAGGGATGGGCCATGCAGTGATTGATGATTAACAATTAAATGAGGACATGTTGAAAGAGGTTATTTAAAGGAATTGTGTAATCGTACATGTTACCATGTATATTAGATAACCGTATATCATCTTGTTTAGGACCTATATAAAACCTCAGAATTAAACGGGGAAGTTATACCAAAGCGACATTATATGGATACTGTCCTCAGCAGCCGGATAGATAATCCTGCAAAACTTGTTCCAAGCTCTCAGTTTCTCCTTCTCTGAACGACCTGAACCACCTCAGACCCTATTCTGTCCGTTATTTGGTTCGACTCCGCAAACTGAGAGCGTAGAAAAAGCTACTAATAGTTACGACAAAGTCGAATACCTTTGCTTTAATACTTGTGGTGTTTTTGATGGCCTTGTTTCATAAGCGATCCTGAACTTAAACGGAAGCAATAACATCAAATCGAGGTTCATTGGAACACTTTCCACGTGTTCAGTGCGAAAACAGCTTTCTTTCATGGCATGACTCGTTATTTCCGTTTGGCGTCATGTTTCTTTGAATGATAGGGCCTCGAAAACAATCAGTTTTAAAGTGCAGTCGTCGGATTTAAGTACACGGTGCAGCTAATATGAGTAGGTTGGCCGATTTAACAACTTTTCTGCGCTAATACACAAGTTTTAGTTCCGCAAAATCAGCAGATGACAAGAATAGCTCTCACCCGGTCATAGACTCGTTATCAGCTTTTAAGGGACTTTGACGCAAGATAAGGAGGCAAAATGCTGGTCAAAGAGGTTTGTATGTTCTATAAATTTTTCTTCTAATTCTGCTTCAAATTTCAGGCTACAATATCGCAGGACCTTTTCAAGGAACGTTTGATCGTGAACTGATATTAGAAAGAATTATTCTTGTGAAATCAGGGTAACAATGACGGTCAGTAGATTGTCTCTTATCCATGACAGTGCAACCGAGAAAATTTCAGGAATTCCAAAATTTCATAACTTGCTCTGGGTCTGATTACCATGACACTACTTCTGACTTTCGAGCTCCATGCGCTTTTTCATTGACAGAAGAATTATCACTAGTGATAACTCTATTCGTGAATAGAGTAGAAGGGACCGCTACAATTCCTTCCTTTCCTCTTCCGTTACTCAAGCGTTTAGGAAAGCAAAGAATTAAACCACAAACACCAAAGTTGATAAGCCTGGTGATTTTAAATTCTTCTCGCAGCTTGTAAAATTTTTGTCACGTTTGCTCGGTACGAAGTTGACATTCACATATCAAATTGGTCTCAAAGTTTCTCAGAAAACTCGTAGGTGTGCAACGCATGCAAAGTAATAGTAAACATGCAATCCCACCTATGGCAAAAAAGATAGAGAATATCGGTTGTTTGCCATTTTGTATTTTCATTAATTAGTAATGTTACTTGAAAATCTCTCGGCGGCAGTCAATTACCTTTTCAAGTCGAATCACTCTTCTTATAAAATAAATTGTGTCCGTCCGGCTGGGTTACACGTTGGTTAGCGTGGTTAGGACTCTCGTCTTTGATTAACGCCTACAGATATTATCTTATCTTAAACAGCGAATTGCCGTTTTTTTTCTTTTTCATTGTGATCCAAGAGAACTATAGAACGATTGCGGTGCGCCCAAGTGTAAAACAATCGATTTGGTCACAACTGAACAAACTCCTCCCCTGAGGAGTACGTCATGTTGAAGCCCTCTTAAAGCCAAAATCAACTCTATCATTTTAACCAGAGAAAACGAAGGGGTCTAAACAAAGACACAAACTTTAAAGAATATCAGGATATCGAGGCTAGGGGGAGGGGGGTGAACAATGAAGTCGATCTTCCCTTTACCGCCTTTCTCATAAGCAATACCCCCTGGGGTCTCCCATGAAAACCCTTTTTCTTTCTTCTGTTAGACGATTAGCTGAAGAATACAGTCACGCAGTCGCAGTCTTGATCCGGGAAGCTGTCTAGCGTAATTTCGCTTTGCCATGTTTGTTGTCTTTTAGTAATCGAATATGTTACCCACTGAGAAGGAAGTAATGCTGGTGATGACTGTAAATGGATCCGATAATGGTTAGTTTATCTTTAATTCAGGATGAACTCTTTGAAAGTGCTCGGAAGTCACGCCTGCATAATTCGGTTTAAAGCTCTCAACCGTTAATTCTCTAATCTTGTTTTAACCTGCAAAGCATTGCAGGAGCGTATTGAGCTTGTTTCTATTCACTTGTGTTTTAAAAATTGCTACTTTGTGCGGAAAAACTAAACTACGTACACAGTTTCTTCCCTCCGATGAGTGTTTATCTTTCATAATGTGCAACGCATTCATTAAAGTATTGGTTACTACGATTCACTGTTTGCAGCAGCGCAGTCGAGTCAATTTTTCATTCCTACTTTAAAGTAATTTCACGTCATAAATCTTTTTAATGAGTAGTACAATTGGTGCTTCAGACATTCGCACGTCAAAAAAATCCTTTAACGAGAATGACAATTGTAACCGAAGGATTAAATGGAAGTGTCTCATTGGGACCAACTGACGCTTTGCAAAAATATATTATATCCGTCCGAGCGTCGCTCGTTCTTAACATAGCGTAAAGTAAACTCATAGGGTTAATTGTTTATCGCATTTCTAAACCTAAGCATTGAAAAAAACGCAAACTGCACGGCTCTCTTGGTTTACGTTGTTAAGGAGTTGAGGGAATGACATCTTTCTATCCATCAAACTTAATTTCTGCACCTAGCGTGACTCATGGCTTTGAGGGAATGTTATCTCTCTATCCATCAAACTAAATTTCTGCACCTAGCGTGACTCATGGCTCTCATCAAAGCAATATACCTTAATGAAATTAAGATGTATTTCTTTCTCCTTGAAACTTACTTTACTCAAAGCAGTTTTGTCTCACTGAGCAATATAGTATCCTACAATTTCTAGTCAGCCACAACTAGCTACAGACTAGCTTCAGACAGAGACAGCCACAGTCAGCTACAGACTAGCTCCAATCATTGTTACTCGTACAAAAAAGGAAAAAATCAAACCTGGGTGTATATAACCGCTGATATAAAGTGTGGTCTCATTAATTCAATTGCCTTAGCTTGAAAGAAAAATTCATTTTCTTGAAAATCGATTTATTCTCCTGAAAATTCGGTTGTATGATTTGATTAAGTTCACTTCGTAAATTAGCACCTTTTCTGAAACGTGAAGGCGTCATTCTATATCTTGGCTGAAACAATTCTTTCACCAATCCGCAAAGAGAGATTGTTCAGTATTTTTCTGAAAGAGTTTACGCCAAACGATTTCTTAAAAATCCTATCTAGCTTGTGTGGCGTTTGAAACCTGTATAAGAGAATAAGATCTTCTTTTTATAATTTGGCCCACTTTGCTCCCATGCTTTGGCGACAAAAGAATAAAACGGAATTTTCCCTTTCATACCAGAACGACAGACATTTACGATCGCGGGTGTTTGATTGTTTCGTTTCATGAAGTTTTGGATTCTCTTCGTCCAACGTACTGATTCCTTTATTGATTGTTGTTAAAAAAACTTGAGAGAGTAGGTGAAGCTCATGCCGAAGCCATATCATTTAACGTGTCAAACATGTACTCAATGTTTGGTGAGAAACTCTGGTGTTAGCAAGTGCTTTTCTAAGATTTCAGTTTGCAATTCTGATTGTTAAAAGGTCGATCACTCGGTCATGCATGGCTTTAGATATCATAGATTGCTTCTGATGCTGGTCATCTCTCACAGGTGATGTTCTGATATAAAGGGACTGATTTCACTACGAAATATCTCTGGTGTGCTTTTTGGTCGGGATACGAAGTAAGATGAGCCATAACCTTAGGTTTTGTGGGGCCATGAGACAGACCGAGACGTATTGACCTAGTTTCATTTCTGTGACAGATCTTAAAAATTTTCTGTTTTCTTAGTTTACATTCTCTGTTATCAACATGTATTTATGCTAATCAAAGTTTATTCAGTGTGCATGAGTATATAGGTAACTCGGATTTTTCAAATAAATTTAACAGATTTAATTTTTAAGCAACGCAATATTTTTCTATCTAATTTTCTTAGATGGCGTCGTTCCAAGGGCTGACTGATCAAGAACAATCAATGCACAGTTTTCTATTCAATTGCATCTAGCCTAGAGTGACGTTAATATATAGCGTTAGCATTGCTATAGATCGGGAAAGCTACATGAGGTATGAAATAGCGATATAACTCATCCCCCGTTTTCATACACAAGCCTCACAGACATGAAAGACTTATCGCTCCCTTTTTAATCCTCCAGAGAAAAAGAATCGGCATATGCATCAGTATAGAGCACTACAGATCATGTTTAAGACATTCAAGGCTGTAAAGAGATGACCGATTGCTTGAATTCGAGGAAGCCGGAAATGAAATTGGTTTACCTGCGGCCGGCGAGGGAATCAGAGTACTTATCCATTCAAGAACGGAATCGGTGCCTTTCCAAACTTTGTTTTAGCTTTCTTGCAGTAACATGGAGAAGAGAGAATTGAAGAACAATGTTTTGAGGTACATCGCCATTTTAAATACCATAAGTCGCGCCATCTGTATGATGTATCAGTCTTTGTCACTTGTGTAGCCTGTCCCAGCAGGGAGATT